TCAAAAGACGGGTTGACATGGTCCTCAGGAATATGGTTTAGTGGTTTGTTTTTTTCTTATTTATTTTTTTTTATCAGAGTTAGGTTGACGGTTGGACTAGATGATCTTTAAGGTCCCTTCCAACCTGACGATTCTATGATTCTGTGAAAGGAAAGGTGTCCACCTCGGCCGTCCTCAGGAACTGCTGCTCCTCTCTGGAGAGCAGCTGAGATGAACAGCAGCAGTTAATCAGTCTCGCTGCCGGCTGCTCGTATCTTCAAGGAATGCCAAGCAGTCAGCCACACTTCTGGCTGATGTTAGAAATGTAAATGTCCAGCTTCGTTTACAGAAGGCCCTGAAGCCCTGCCAGTTGAGGCTTGTAAAAGAATTTGGCCCCAAACAGTCTAATCTTGATGTCACTGGCTGAGAAGAGATTTATACGATGATTCTGCACCAGCCTGGCTGTTGCAGGTGATAACATCTTTGAATTTTCTTCCATCCCTTTTTTTTTTGTAATTCTGCAGCCTCAGGGGGGCACAAAGAGGAGCAGCTTGGCCGGTGTTAGTGCCAATGGCTGCCTGGAAAGCTCCGAGATGGATTTGCCTTGGTGGGGTTTTTTTGTGCTGGCAGAAGTCCAAGGTCAGTACTGAAGGGGAATGGTGGAGATTGTCTTCTAACCACCGCAGCGTTCCGAGCCTGGGCAATGTTTACATCAGATTTGTTCTCTCTTGTGCCTTTTGGATAACGTAGCTCCCAAATATACAGCTTGGGAATGTGGGTTTGCTGGTGAGTAACCGCGTTTTCTCTGCCCCGGAGGAGCGTATCTTGCCTGACTGGGCTACTGAGAGGGAAGGGAGGGGGGGGTATTCTGCCAGAGCTATTTCCCTGCAAAAACAATGCAGAGGAGGGGGCCTGTTTTGGGAAGCGTGGCTGAGACAGCACGTGGAGCAGTGGCACCGCTCCCCAGAGTCCTGCACACCCCCCTCAGCTTCATTTCACCCTCACTACCAGGTTAGGGGTGGACCTGCTGGAAAGCACTTCTGGGGAGAAGGATCTGGGGGTCGTGGTGGACAGTAAACTCTCCATGAGCCAGCAATGTGTCCTTGTGGCCAAGAGGCCAATGGGATCCTGGGCTGTGCAGGGAAGAGTGTGGCCAGGAGGTGGAGGGAGGGCATTCTCCCCCTCTGCTCTGCACTGGGGAGGCCACAACTGGAATCCTGCGTCCAGTGCTGGGCTCCCCAGTTCAAGAGGGACAGGGAACTGCTGGAGAGAGTCCAGCGAAGGGCAACAAAGATGATTCAAGGATTGGAGCATCTCCCTGATGAGGAAAGGCTGAGAGAGCTGGGGCTCTTCAGCCTGGAGAAGAGAAGGCTGAGGGGAGACCTTATTAATGCTGACAAGGATCTAAAGGGTGGGTTGAAGGAGGATGGAGCCGGACTCTTTTCAGTGGTTCCCAGTGACAGGACGAGGGGCAACGGGCACAAGCTGGACCATGGGAAGTTCCACTCCAATCTGAGGAAGAACTTGTTTGGGGTGAGGGTGGCAGAGCCCTGACAGCGGCTGCCCAGGGAGGGTGTGGAGTCCCCTTCTCTGGAGATCTTCAAGCCCCACCTGGATGCTCCTGAGTGATGTGCTCTGGGCAGCCCTGCTTTGGCAGGGGAGTTGGACTAGATGATCTCCAGAGGTCCCTTCCAATTCTGACAATCCCGTGATTCCATGCTGGTTCTTTGCTTCAGCAGCAGCACACAAACCCCCTCGTGTCGTTAGCCTGGCTGGAGACCCTGTTATACCTGAGAGGACAAAAAACCAAAGGAGTCCATAGGTCAGATATTTCCCTCTCCTGTCCCCCCTCTCCCCACATCTGCGATCCCGTGTGGCTCTGCACCCATAAGGGTTCACCGCTCCGAGCAGGGCAGCACGTATAGAGCCAGGCATGGCTCAAAGCTAAAGGGAAAACCAGGGTTATATGGCCTCTGCCTGATTCCTCCTCCCCTGCGGGGGATGCTGAGCATCCCACTGGGTTCCTGGTGCCAAGCATGGTCACTCAGCCTTGAAAGAGAGCCAAGGTCGCTGTCAGAGTATACTGAGGAGCGTAATAAATAATGTACTGATACCAGGAACCATCTCAACGTGTCCAGTCTTAAATGGGGGAGCAATCTCCCAGCCTTGGCTCACTATAGGCTGAGTTGGTCATTCCTGTGTTTCCTCTGCTGGTCCTGCAGATCAGACAGACACATCACCAAATGGCCAGGCAGGACACATGCATAAATTTAATGCAATTCTCACTCAAAAGAGGCCAAACCGATTAAAATTCCTATGAGCTTTAGAGCTGCAAGATAGCCAGAAGAGAATCTAATTAAGAGAGGATTTATTAAGGAGCACCCTAAAAAGGAAGCTGCAGCTGACCTCAAATAAGTCCTGGACAGCACAAGGGAGACTTCTGGGGAACCTGTTGCTCACCTTCTTTGCCATGTGCACGACAAGTACTTCAATACACACACATTGAGCACATGTTTCTTGTCCTTCTGATGTTCTAGGCTTTGGTTCCTTCTTTACTGCTTAAGGCCTTCATTTGAGCAATGCTTTGGGGTCCTTATGTCATTTTTCATGGCAAGAGGAAAATTAAAAAAAGGCCACTCTCAATGTTCATTCCCCTAATCCTCACTTCCTAAAGTTACCTATGAGGATGCTGTGGGAGATGGTGCCAAAAGCCTTGCTGAAGTCAAGGTGAAGACAACATTCACCGCCCTCCCCTCATCTATCCAACCCTGGGGAGCAGCTGGTGTGTAAGGGATTTGGGGCTTCTTTCTGCTCTCAGACAGTGAGAGATGGAAAAGTCATTCCAGGAGGGAGTTCTCCCTCCTGCCTGCCCCCAACACCGTATGGCAGAGTCCTAAAGGAAAAGCAAGTATCACATATTTCACCATCATGATCTTTAAGGTCCCTTCCAACTCTAACCATTCTATGATCCTATGATTCTATGATCACGCCATTTCCGCTTGTCCTGTCCCTTAGACTGAACATTAGGAAGGAATTTTTCACAGAGAGAGTGGTCGGGCATTGGAATAGGTTGCCCAGGGAGGTGGTTGAGTCCCCATCCCTGGATGTGTTTAAGGGACGTTTAGATGCGGTACTGAGGGACATGGTGTAGGGGAGGACTGTGTAGAGTGGGGGAGATGGTTGGACTCGATGATCCCAAGGGTCTCTTCCAACCTGAATGATTCTATGATTCTATGATTCTTATTAAATTGGTAGTAGGTACACTTAGCCTAAGCAGCATCCTGGCCTGTGTCAGGAGCAGCGTGGCCAGCAGGAGCAGGGCAGTGATGGTGCCTCTGGACTGGGCACTGGTGAGGCCTCACCTCGAGGGCTGGGTTCAGTTCTGGGCCCCTCACCACAAGAAGGACATTGAGGGGCTGGAGCGTGTCCAGAGGAGAGCCACCAAGCTGGGGAGGGGTCTGGAGAACAAGTCCTACGAGGAGAGGCTGAGGGAAGTGGGCATGTTGAGTTTGGTCTCAGGCACCCACCACCCCTCATGGACCCCACTGCCCCTCATGGACCCCATTCACCTTCAGGGACCCCACTGCCCCTCATGGACCCCATTGGCCCTTCCCTTCCAGCCATGAAGATTCTGTGATTAACTTGCTCTTGCACACCTGCTGCTCCCCAGCGCCAGGGGCATCTCTTATTCCAGCTTCACGGCCTCCCAGAACTAAAGGCCGTGGGGATTCCTCTTCCTTGGGGAGCGTTTCCCCCCTCAGACCCCAGAGCAGCCGGTGGGGGAGCCGCCTACCATTCCTCAGGGACCCCACGACCCCTCAGGGACTCCACTGCCCCTCAGGGTTCCCCCTGCCCCTCACGAACCCCACTGCCCCTCATGGACCCCATTGGCCCTCAGGGACCCCACTGCCTCTCAGGCACCCACCACCCCTCATGGACCCCACTGCCCCTCATGGACCCCACTGCCCCTCATGGACCCCATTGGCCCTCAGGGACCCCACTGCCTCTCAGGCACCCCGCCACCCCTCATGAACCCCACTGCCCCTCA